CCCCATCCCCCACCCTTCCCCGTTCTCTTGTTTTTCTCCCACGGTGCCTCTGCTGTCCCAGCCTCTTATTATCAGCCGCTTTTTCATTCATCTGAAGGACACTTCAGGGAATTACCACCAAAGGCTGCATGATAAATACACAGACACGGATCCACATTAATCGTACTATATGTGCTCAAATCTTTATATTTAGTCCTTAAAATGGAAGCCAGTTTTCCTCTACTTTCATAATTATAATGCATGAATAACAAAGCTTATATTTAAACAATATGCATGCATGGAAACATTTTGTCCTAATGATTTTGAGATGTTGAATGTGATTGAATTCAAATCTCCAAAAGAACATCGATATAAAAATGCTGGTTTGAAATGGGTTTTGAAGCCCAATCAGTGGTATCCATTTGTTTTTAGGGGAGAGATGGATCAACTTGAAGAGCTCCAGAAGAAAGAGAGAGTCTGTCTGAAAAAAGTGAAGGAACAGAAAGCCAAACTCTATCAAGCTTACAGGTGGCACCACCTACTCAGCACCAAACGGGTTTGTCGGAGACACACACGTGCGCACGGTCACAATGTGTTGGCTTGATCATGAGCAGAGCAAATGGGTATTCCATGTTCTCCATAAACAGTTTCATGTACTCAATTGCAGGCCAGATTCTAAAAACATGCATGGTAGGTTAAACACAGATCCTAAATTGTCTGTCGGTGTCCGTGTGAGTGTGAATGGTTGTTTGTTTGTGTCCTGCAATTGGCTGGCGACCAGTTCATCGTGTCACCCACCTTCAGCATAACCCCAAATCGAGACTGCAGTAATACTAGCTATTCAGATTTGGTTCGGTCCCGAGATGTACAGAGTTCACAGGGAGCAGATTAGGTAAGGGAAAGGAAGAGTTACGATCTCGAGCTCTAGCCACACATCAACTTTGTAACAGAATCCATTGAGAGACAACAGGCCAGCAGAGAATTGTGGGAGAAGAAGAACTTTTTCTCTGAAGTAAACACCCAGTGAATTTGTAAATGCTGAACACACCAAAAAACAAAATTTCTATTTTACACAAAAGCTTTTAAGATGTAAAAAAAAAAAAAAAAAAAAAGGCGAAGGTTGAGCAGCATTGCTGTATACTACAGTATATTCTCTCTCTTTTTCTGCATATGGTGGGGGACTCTTTCCCTTCATAGCTCTGACCTTGTCAGCAATGAATAGATGGCTCTCCCACACAGTTCATCCTTCTGCACTTCTTGGACCCCGGCACACACACACACACACACACACACACTCACATCTTACCAAAAGGCCCCCAAGTCCCTCTGACAGAGACAGAGATGCTGTGTTCTTGGGGTCAACATCATTGCTCTTCCCATAGCTTGCTCGTTGCTACTGTGGGATTAAGTGTGTCTGCGCTTGTGTGAACGTGTTTCTGTATTTGTGGCAAGTGACAATGTTTGTGAGCTTTCTGGGGGTTGTTTTGGGGGGTTGTCTCTGAAACATGTCCCACACCACTAGCAGTTCATGTCAGACATGACTACAGTAAATGACGATGTTTGGGATTATTTTGTGTGTGAATGTGTGCTGCTCTATGCGTGTGGAAATGATGCAGTTTTTATGGTTTTCAGTCAAGATGCAAATTCTGTTTGTAGGATTCGTATTCATTCATTCATTCATTCCATTGTAATTTAGTGAAGTGACAGTAAATTTGTTAAATGACATAAGATAGTTTTGCTCAGGTAAGGGACACGCATTCTCCGATCCGATATTGCCAAGCTCTCTATTAACTGAAGTTAATGGACTTTATTTTACAAATACAGACTAAATCCCCGGCAATGTTAAACAAACCTTTACTAATCAACTGGTCTCTAAATGTTATTTTGAAAAGCGCTGAGACACGGTCATCCTCATTTCCCACTTAAACCCTTTTCTCATTTTCGGAGTGTCCTAAAAATCTTGTGGCATTATTAGCATATAAAGTAGAGTCCTGCAACTCAAAGCTTTGGTCTGGTAATTAACATGCATGCACAAGGATCACTGTGATGTGAATAATTCTTACTCAGGCCTTCTGGAATAAATCCACTTCAGATCTTGTGTATATATGTGTGTGGTTATGCTTGTGTGTAATGGAATTTTTGAACACGTGTTCATTATACCACGTTGTGTGTTTTTGTGAAATTGGGAAAAGTGGATGCGAATCAGTGTCATTTGCTCATATAAAGTAATGTGAAGATGAGGTCTATCGCTTTAATAGAGTTTCCCATCTCTTGCCCTTTAGTGCCCAGGGGTCTTCAACTCTCCATTCAGGCTGGCCCCCCATGAGATGGAGTTACTACTGAGGCAGGTCAAGTACCAGGCCCCCACCAAGCTTGTCCCGAGGGACTGCACTCCTCTGACACCTGCAGCTCCTACACTCCCCAGTTTTCATGAGACTGTTGAATCCCCGAGGAGCAAAACAAGAGCTGGCTGTTCCCCCAGGCCCATACCTTCCCGCACACCTAGCACAAAACAGCAGGTAAGATGGTCTTCAATCGAAGGTGCACATCGCTGTCCTCCACCAAAACCCCCTCTGACCAAATACGCATCGTAGTAAATTCCTCCCTCCAAGCTTAGTTGTATTGTCCACAAAAGACCACTTCCTAGGGGTGGTTGTGAATTTGAATTAGGGCTGCAACTAATGATTATATCAATCTTCGATTAATCAGTCAATCATTTTGTCGATTAATCTGTAAAATCGGTTTTCAAATAATATGACATTATTTCAAATTGACAGTACACAAACATGAAGTAACTATGATTCAGTTAATCGTGTGGTCCATAACATGTCATAAAATACGCACAAATGTTGATCACTGTCAAAGCAAATGTTTTGTTTTGATTCAAACAACGATAATCGGTTGGCTTTCATGGCATAGTGTAGAAATCGGACAATATTTACTGTTGAGAAACTGAAATTTAAAAAGCTGTCTAAACAATTCATCGATCATCAAAAACAATTATCAATACATTTGAGAATCGATTAGTCGTCAGTTCATCAAATAATAGTTGGACCACACAAGTTATTGTTTTATTTGTAATGCAACTATAGTCCTGTACTGCAAAGCACCTGACCTTTGACACAATGATGAACTGAGGATTCCAAAATATATATTTTTTCTTGGCCCGTGCCACACCTGTCCAAAATGATTTGTAGAAATCAGAGACTTGACTTTTTATGTGTAGTCATCAATAGAAGAATGGGAGATGAAGCGAAAGTAAAACTAATCCCTGCAGATACGAGAGCAATAATTTTAGAGTGTCTTTCTCATGATTTGAGACCCCAACATACTTGCCTTGCCCAATGGGGAATTATTCCCGTTGAAGGCAGAGATGCTTGAAAACTCATTTCAAAGAAGAATGGCATCATTGAAACATGGCACACAGCTCTCTCGTGGATAACTGCAGAGACGTGAACAATCTCTGATTGAACATTGTTAGTGTGCAGCTCTGTCACTATTGCATGCACGGGTGACACGTTGGAAAAGCCCAATTTATGTTAATTGGTAATAATTATTGTGTTGTTTTTGTTGTATTTTCAATGCATCCATCTGATTTAGCTCCCAATGTGTTTGATTGTCTTTACGTTTAAGATTAACATCAAAGACATAATACAAGGGTGAGTGGCAAAGGTGCGTGTCACTTTTTCACTTGTAGAGGTGTAATAACTGACTTTCAAAACATTGAACGGAATGGAAATCTAAACTAGGATAAGTTGCTGCAGTTTGCTGTATTCTGTCTTATTAGTGCAGACAGACCCGCTTTCTTTCTTCTGCTTTTACCCCATTCACCCCTAACTACCGTGATAACTATCTGGTAGTGATGGATAAGGTTGAGGTGGAGGTTGTGCAAATGGTCAGGCCAGGCCACTGATCCCATGGCGATAGGAGCAAGGACAGGTTGCCCCACACCTGTCCCTTCCTCTGTATCTACCCCCCCCCCCGCCAAACCGCCTTTTTCAAAGCCAACAAGGTCACCTCCGCAAAGCAACAGCATGTACTATCTCCTTAATCTGTGCTGCACTGTCGAATTGAACATTTGCACAAGTTACACGTTTGTGCAAGCACATCCATTTGCGCTGGCGAATTTTGGATTTGGAGCTTGAACAAAGTTATTCAAACATTATTATGTCATTTTTATATCATATGTATTTCTTTTCAAGTCGTTTATAATCTTGACAAAATGTAGGCTATTGAGAATCAACATTTCTAAACGATTACAGTATCCATCCATCCATCCATCCATCCATCCATTTTCTGATCCGCTTTATCCTCACAAGGGTCGCGGGGGGTGCTGGAGCCTATCCCAGCCGTCTTCAGGCAGTAGGCAGGGGACACCCTGAACCGGTTGCCAGCCAATCGCAGGGCACACACAGACGAACAACCATCTGTGCTCACACACACACACCTTGGGACAATTTAGAGTGCTCCATTAGCCTGCCGTGCATGTTTTTGGAATGTGGGAGGAAACCGGAGTACCCAGAGAAAACCCACGCAGACCCGGGGAGAACATGCAAACTCCACACAGGGAGGCCGCAGCTGAAATTGAACACGGTACCTCCGCACTGTGAGGTCGCTAACCACTCGATCACCAGGCCACCCTACCGTATTCATTTGCTTGGCAATTACGTTTCAAAGGTGTGATGATGCAGCAATTGTGATTAAATGATGACGGAAGTTGAAGCTCAGCATACATACAGCTCAGCGTGTCATTTCTTTATCTTGCTCCCACAATGGCACCACTTATGTTTCTTTCATTGCTCACTTCTTTAAGACTACCTTAGAAGTACTGTATTCTTATCTTTTTTCCCCCTCTCTGCCTCTCCCGTGGTGTCTGTGTCACAAAAGGAGGAGCGATTGGCTTCTGCTTTTAGCTGTAAAACCTTCACCACCTGTGGCAGAGAGATCTGACAAAGACAGAGAGGAGAAGCTGAAACTGAAATTAGCAATTATCATTAACTGATACTCGTAACTCTCTTTGGTTATTTAAGGTCCGGATCAGAGACCCTGGGGAGATGTGGGAGCCAAGTGTACATTTTCCTGAGCTTTTCGCGGGTCTGCACAGCTCGTGCGCACACTTGGACGAGGCTCAGAATGATTTGCGAGCCTACAGTGGCACAAGGTCAGTCAAGCAAGTATTTTTTTTTCTTTCCTGGACTACAACATTAGCTTGACTCCATCCATTTTTTTTTTATATCGGTCGCAGGTGAGCTGGAGCTTATCCCAGCTGATTTGGGGCCGGGTACACTTTGGGCTGCTCGCCAGGCCGAGACCCGACACGTATAGACAAACAATCACTCACATTCACAAATACGGACAAATTGAGTTTTCAGTTAAGCTAACATACATGTTTTGGAATATGGGAGGAAGCCAGAGTACCAAAACAGACCACACGCAAGTATTGGGAGAACATGAGCATTCTATTCAGGGCAGCATGAGGTGAGGTTTAAATCTTTGGCATAAGATAGACTGCATTGTCTAATTAGAGCCAATAAAAGCTGTGTCGAAATGATCTAATCATACAACAATAATACAAGGCATCCACAGATCCTTAACAAAAAGTCTTAAATTTAATTTTCCAAAATCAAGGCCTTTATTTGCCTGACAGTTGACAATTCTTATATGTGCCATTCAACAGGTCTGAAAAATGCCACAGGCATGAACAACAGTTGCTTTATTTTCTCAGGAAACATTTTGTAAAGAATGCAAAATTAGTTTGTCTGTCATCCAGTTTTCCATAAATTGTATGTAAATTCCTCAAATATTGTGTAATTAATTTTGATCCAACAGCCAGTTTAACATAGCCTTCAAAAGAGTTTGAAAATACTCAGATTGTGCTTTCTTCATCCATCAGAGACCCTGTGATATCGCTCAGTTTGACTGTCACACCCCTTCAGGGCCAATAGATTAGAAACACGCCTCCGTATGTTGCACTCAAGTACAACACCATTACAAACTGCCACTAAAAAATGACATTTTCTAAAAATCCATGATTGTATCTTTAACGTGTGGATTATTATCTTTAAAACAAAGGGGAAAAAATGTGTGGGTGTGTGTAATGTGGGTGCTGACGTGTGAAAATATCTCTATACTTAACACAAGCACATTCATTCCACATTAAGTAACAAATGAACACATCCTTCGGAAACGTCATGAGGATATGCCTGGTGATTATTTTAACACTGCTTTAGTCCCCATTTCTTATTAACAGTGTCACAGGCTTTTCCGTGTAATTAAGATCAGTGTGTGTGAGTATGTATGTAACAAGTGTCGCTGCGGTGTATTTGTGACTTTGTTAAACACTTGATTAGAACCTCATTACTACTCACAGACTAATCTACTCTGCTGTGTGTGAAGTGCTCGTATTAACCCTCAGCTTGATCTCGCGTACGCTGTAATTTCCCTGGCAACAGAACAAAAGACCACCCAGTTTTCTCACCACTATATTCTTCTTTGGTATTTAGCGCCGCTTCAATCACACAACTGAAGCTGCGCGGATAAAGATGCGAGTGTCTGACATAGAAAATCAGTGAGTGACTTGTAGCTATGCCAGGTGTACTAACAGCCGGTGAGTTAGATCACATCTTAGTCTATTTTTGAGAGGGATGATAACAAATATAGAAAATATTAGAAACCACTGCCTGTGACTAAGTGTAAAAGAAAAAAACCTAGGGTCCGATCGGAACACCCAGCATGGCATGGTGTTGTCTGCCAAATTCCCAAACATGGTAAATTACACGTGCCCTGACATAAACGAAGATGCAGCAGTTTCTACGCTCAGCGCGCCTTTGCCTGTCCACCAAAATAGAGTCCTGAGTGTCATGTTACCGATCCGGTGGATTGGCCCATATACAGTGTACAGTACATTGATTCATCTCATGTCCTATTTTTTTTTTTTCAATCTGTCTGACTGTTGGTCAACCAGCGAACCAGAGAGTATGCACCACCATTTGGACCACAACAGCATTGGCATTCTTCATCCCAGCAATGTTCAGACCTTTGCATAGTGCTCAACTGCTCATACACTGACATCAACAGAAGGTAGGTCGTCCATTTTAAATACATCACATTAAGGGTTATTTAGTGTATGTATTTGGAGAACTTCATAAGTCATTATTGGAGATGAGATACCTACCACACTGCCCTCAGATGGATTGTGCGGATAGCAGGCCATTGCCAGCTTTGCGCTTAACATTCAGTTCATATAGATATAAGCAATAGATTGGGGTTGACTGAGAGGTTGCCAGGGCTCCCGCCTCAAGTGTAACACAATATTCTTCCTTCACATAAAAAGATGGAAAAACAGACTCTTGGTGCAGTCAAGCCCTTTCAATTTGAGTTGCACAAATTTGTCAAAAGTGACAGCAATTTAATAAATCGCCGCTCTCTATCACACGCATATGTACACCCACCCACACACGCCAACACAATTCCCAGTTATGCCCTCCATTGCCCCCTCTCCATGTATACGTAAATGAGGTGTATGCATGGCTGTGTGTGTATGTGTGTGTGTGTCTGCATGTCGGAGAAGGAGCTGTGTGCACGTGGGCCCTGCGGTCTGGTCCAGGCATTAGGTAATTGACTGTGTCTTTGCTCAAGGCCTTTCATGGATCACCGTCCTTTATTAGCTCACTTTCCAGCAAGCGCACGCATACATATATGTGCATGCACACACACAAAGTTCCCAGCAGTTCCAGCCCAACCTCTTACCCCCCACTACCAGCAGCGCCCAGACCCAATTGCCCAGAAACAAGGATTGAAACAAGCGAGGAGAAAGAGAGAGAGAAGAGCAAGAGAAGGAGAGAAAGCAGCGACACGGGAATGAACTAACACGGCCCCAGGAAGTGGAGATAAATAAGAATGGGGATTGAGTGGGTGGGTGAATGGGGTCTCTTGCAGCTGAACACTATGGCTGGACGAGTATGGTCTGTTTTGATGAGGTGGTCTATACAGGCTTCATAAAATACAGAAAGAAAAAAATCGCCTCTGAAATGCATCTTTTAAGACACCATTCTGAAATTAAAGTGCACAGAAGAAAAGAGGCACAGTCCACTCTGACTAAAATATTAAAATTATTGATGTAAAAAAGTGAATGTTGTATTGATCATATTCATTTATTTATAGCAAGATTATATTTATTGTATTCATTTCTACAAAATCAAATTGTGTACACATTAAGCACATCTTGTTCAATTCATTTTAAATCAATTTAAATTTAAATAGTGTTCAGATTTCAAATGATAAAAATTGTTCCGATGTCCGAATATTTATGGATCTGGATACATATCTACCTTCCGATGTGAACTGCAATCTCAACAGTTTACTGTCTGTAGACACATCACCATTTGGCAAAATGCACAAACCTGAATGGACCAAATTTACTTTGTGCACACCTGCCCAATGAATCAATTTGGGTTTGTGTAAAACAAGCCAAAGGCTAAGATTATGGGGAAACTAAGGCATCGACCAGCACCCACTGATTGAGGTTTTGATCAATGCCAAAGTCAGATTCCATGCATGTAGCCCGATTTTGAGCCGACAGACGTGTCGCAGACGAACGTAGTGTCTGTAGCCAATTTTGAGTTGTCTTGACGCGCAGTAGCCCGTGTAGCCTGACATAAACTACGATTGGTCGTGAGACCGTTCATCAATCGATTCTTCGGCATTGACCAATGGGAAGATGGTGCCCTCCGATTTATGACAAGAGACTGGAATCACAATGCGGTGTACAGTATTTCAAAAGTGACTTGAACAAAAGGGGAACGATTGAAAGTATATGAAGGATTTCAACTCATGCTGTTTGCTAACTGCAAAGCTAGTCGCTGATTAGCAAACGTGTCATTAAACAAACATCCCCATAGAATCCCTAAATATCCCTCCCGCGACTATATTGTTTTCCCATTTTTGGCCCACTTCTGTTATATTGCTGGCAGTCAGAGCCCTTCTGAGCACATTTCGGTCTGTTGCTTCATCCTTGTGTGCCTCTCTACCTCTATTTGCGCTCTCTTCTCTGCCTGTGTGGTAATTAGTGCGTAAGGCCTATCGTTGGAAGCACCCCCAGCTACAGCCGCAGCCAGCAGAGCTTTGTCACAGCTCAGAGGGCCGATGGAGTGGACAGCTCAGCCTTGATACTCATCATCTTCATACTGTGCCGGGGCCATGCCTCCCCCGCAGCCACATTATTTGGCTATGGTATCCAGCCACGCTCCTAATTATTTTCAAATCCCAGCCGAAGCCCTATCACCCGCCCTGCCACGTTACCCTGCTCTGCTTGTAATCATCACCTAAAGCCTTGCTTTGTAGCCTGAAGTCCCATCATTAGCATATCCCAATTTTTGCTAGCTGCATACTCTGCCTCTCTGGCTTGGCCATCACAGCTCTGGAAATAGCTCATGACTCCTGGACCTTTATTTACCATACCCATCTGTGTCACAGCAAGAAAGGCTGTCAGTGTTAATGTGGTGTGCCCTGTCACGACTTACAGCCATCCACACATAATCACACTGATGACAGTCCCCACCTCTCCAGGAATTCAATGGCACCCCCATCTTAGGCCGAGGGGTGCTCGCCCTTCCTCTATCGTCCATGTGACCTTGCCCTCATTACACGGGTCCCACTCTAACGATCACTTTCTTGTAAGTCGGCACTCTTCTATTTTATGACCTCAAATGCAAATTACAATAACGGATGAAAATTCTGACCTCGGCCCTTGCCCTTTAGGAACATCATATTGAAACTCGGTTTTCCAAGGACTATTGGCCACTCATCTTGACTGTAGTTATCTGCAGTGGGAACAACTGGTCGAACACTACTTTCCCAACTTTCCTCCTGTCTATTGCTCTATAGCGCTTGTCCCTCGGGAGCCAATGCAAGATAATTCTGGGTGAAATCTTCACTTATACTCAATCACTTACTTTCTTAGTTTCATGAAGTATGTTTTCGGACTGTAGGGGGAAAGCATAGCACCCTGAGAAATCCACAAAAACATGGTCCTGTAACTCCACACGGAAATGTTATAACTGAGACTTGAACCTACATCTCCTGACTGTGAGGCACACGTGTAATCCACTACTTCAGTGTGCTGCCTTTACTGAATGATGATTTGTAGACATAAAACGTCAAATTTTCATTATTGCCCATCCACTTTGGGTCATTAGTTTTGTGCACATACAACAAATCCAAAGTCGAACAGTCGTGAACAGAGATGTTTTTGGATTAGAATTGTGTGATTTCTAATTGTATTTCCTTTCTATACCATTGTACTTTAGAATACACAAAAACTACAACATAGTTGAGCAAAATAGATCAGCTGATGAAGAGCCATTTTGTTTCACTCGATGTTAAGTTTAGGGCTTCTTTCTTCATTTTAATTGCAGGGTGTTTGAGTGGACTGTGCTTAAATTTGCGTCTCTGAGCATACATAAAGGGGAGATCATACAAAGTTTTGTAAAAAAGCTGAAGACAAATTATGTATCCAAAGTCAAACGCTGCTTTTATTATTTGTAAGGAACATTGCTACATATTGGCCTTAAAGAGAAAAGTAAGCTGAGTTAAAATGAGGACAGGCAACAACAAATACTGGACCTCTGATGATAGATAGCATTGCATGCTAGTTGTTTTGTTTGTGGTTACAAGTCGTATGAGTAATGAGTAATTTCAAATGCGGTTATGGGAAAGCCTTCGTTGTCCAGGCTAATTTTGTGGCTGTGTTATTAGCCATGTCACCAGCAGTCCTGCCTGTAACCATAAAAGATAGCTAATTAGGAGGCCACGTGCAAATCAAATACACTAGACTGAGTGGTCACGTCTGTGTTTGCTTGCGCTCCC